AAATACTGCTTATTTTGAAACGAGCGAAAGAACTTATTTTGAGAAAGTCATTTCAAATTTAATATCTTTTTTTTTACGTTTCTATTTTTTCAAGTGGGCACTATTCTCGGTTCAGCTGTATTCAATGTTCTTTTTGTTATTGCTTTATGTGCACTGATTTCAACAACTGTATGTGAATTAGATGCATATCCAATTGTACGAGATGGTGGATTTTATTGTATTGCTGTTGTTGTTCTATTTATTATTATATTTGATCAACGCGTCTATTGGTATGAAGCATTTGCACTTGTTATACTCTATTTAATTTATGTGGCTATTTTAAAATTTAATGATCGTCTATCACGCTTAATACGTGGAAATTCATCAAATCAAACACCTCGAAAATCTAGTGAACGTCATTCTGAACAATTACAAGCCTTGAATGATAATGTTGAATTAGAACAAAATATAACAACACGTGCTCGTTCAGTTTCAGAATCTGTTGCAATGAATACAACAACAATTCCAAATCACTATATGAAACGACGCTCAACATTTAAACCATGTCAAAAACGTCTTAAAGATACATTAAGTAATCATCAAATAGTTGCTAATGCAACAGAAATATTTGATCCACTTAAATTACCAACAAAAAAATATAAAATATTAAAATGGCTTCTTATGTATCCAGTTCGTTTACTTATGCATATTACAATACCAGATTGTCGAAAGGAAGTTTTTCACAATTATTATATGCTTACATTTGTCATGTCAACTATTTGGGTAAATAATATTTGTAAATAAATATACGTATAATTGTTTTTTTTTCCTTTATTAATTATACATATATATAGGTTGCTGGTCTAGCTTATTTTCTTGTATGGCTTGTTGTTATAGTTGGGTCGACTTTAAATATTCGGGATAGTATTATGGGTTTAACAATATTAGCTGTTGGTTCATCAATTGAAGAAATTTTTTCAGCTATTGTTATGACAAGACGTGGTCATCCAGAAATGGCTATTGCTGGTTCAATTGGCTCAAATGTATTTGATATTTTAATGGGTTTAGGTATACCATGGTTATTTCGTAATTTAATGAGATTTACTTATCAACCAACACCATATGAAAATGTACCACTTATGAGTGATTCAACTTTAGCTGTTTTAGCGTCAAGTTCATCAAATGATGGTAGTTTAACAACCACAAATGCAGATATTCCTTATTATGTTGAAATTCATTCACGAGGATTAGTGTATTCAACAATTGTTCTTTTTATTGCAATTATTACATTTCTATTAACATTCTTTATAAATCGATGTCGTTTAACAAAAATTTATGGAGTTTTTCTTATTATTATTTGGTTGTCTGTCATAACATTAATGTGTCTATTTGAATTGAATATATTTGGTCACTTTCATGCTGAACCTTGTCAAAAATGACATAGTAGTTATTGTTTAAAAACAATATTTTATGTCTGTTTGTATATGTATTGATGTGAAAGAAAAACAAATATTTTATCTATTTGTGTCTCAATAAAAAGATGTTATTTATAGAAATTCTACATCATGTAATCAAATTAGGAACGTGAATGAAGTGAAGAGAATGCGAAAAAAAAAATATTTCACTCTCTTTTAGATGAAAAAGAATACAATGATGAGATCCTAAAATGTATATAACAAAGGATACTACACTAATGGATATGTCACTAGAATGACGATAAACAGGAAAAAGAGCCTTTTAGTGTTTCTATATCGACAAGCGGATTAAAGAAGCAAATTGCATTTACAGATACGTGAAAAAAGATAAATGAATGAGTCTCTAAAAGCCTTTAAGCCTTGTGTCTTTTCTTTCTTTGATTTCGCTCGTTCTCTGCATATTCGTATTTTATCTTTATGCTATAAGCATCATCAATATTTCTATATTGATTCTTTTTCTAAACAATAATAGACATCATTATGTTCAATATTAGCGCATTATTGAAGAGTTTTGAGGCATATATGATTGATTCATAAAACGAAGAAAAAGCTGAATGCGTTTCATAATATTCATAATAATAAACAGTGAAGCTCAGAACATGGCAAAAGATCACTTCTACTTTGTGCACTTGCATGAACTGAATCATATTAAAAAAAAGAGCGGATTAATGACAATTAGTTCAATATATGAAAACAATATAGACAAGATAATCAAATATGATTGAACGAGACAAAAAAACAATACAATGAATACTTGTTGATATTCATTAAAAATCATTCAAATTTATTTCATTCAGTGTTTAATGAGTAAAAGAAAGATTTTCTCGTTGATATTGAACTACTCTACTTTAGATTTTATTCTGCCGTATAATGGATTATAATATGTTGACATGCAAACAAAACATCTTTTAATCCTATTGATCAATATTGCAGAGAAATTAGAACGCTTCATAATTTTATTATTCCGAGTAAAGCGATAATGCATATTCAATTATGTAGATTTCGATAAAACAAAAAAAAAGTAATCATAGTCAAACAATTGAATTTTTTACTTATTATTAAATCTTAACAATTTGCTTCATTTTCTTTTTGCTTTATTTTTATGCAATATAGAATATAAATTTCATCATGCAGAAGTTGATTCTAAATCACATACGAGAGTAGACACTTCTATGTATTCAAATCAATGATAAAATAGGAAATTAAAAGTTAATATGCTTTTTGCTCTTTGTCGTTCTCCAAATATTTCATATCTCAGAAAAAAACTTATACCACAATCTAGACGTTTCTAATAAAAACAATTCATATCAAATCATCTTATATGTTAAGTGTAAAGCGGTAGCGAACAAGAACGCATTTCGTCTTCTTTTAATTTTCAAGGTTCAATCTAATTGAATTAAATACGAAATGAAAGGTCGTGGTTTTCTCATCATTTTAATGCTCAAATCGAGATATTTTTATTCGATCGTAATTGTGAACATGATCTGTCTTCATGACATACTGAATGGTAATTAGTGCTTGAGAATAGTCAGCTATTCGAATTTTTATGTGACAGAAAATAAAGTAAGCTGAACAATCATTTGAACTTATTCTAACAATCGTTTGTCCCGAATATATTTTCATTGGATTATTGTATTAATGAAATTTCCTTCGCACTTAGTTCATTACGTGACCGATAGAGCTTCTTAAACTCTATAAAATGAACTATTATCCGATTCAAAATAAAAGGCTGGTTACCATTTTTTGAATAACTCTTTATAGGAAGATGATAGAGAGCTGCAGTTTTCACCATTCGAAAGAGCGATGTTCGGGTCATCGATCGATATATTACTCATTAAGGCGAAAGGTGCTTTCTTTTAGAAATAATTTGAATCAACATTTTTTCCATTGAATATTTTCATCAATTTTCACAATAATCTCAACTAAAATTATGTCAAAATGAAGCTCAAATCACTCTTTTTTTCGCTATTAAATTATCACATATATCATAATCTTTTAACCTCTTGTTCTAAGTGGGTTTTAGGAAAACAAATGTCAATTTGATAGCGAAAAAAGAGTGATTTGAGCTGCATTTTGACATAATTTTAGTTGAGATTATTGTGAAAATTAATGAAAATATTCGATGGAAAAAATGTTGATCCAAAGATTTCTAAAAGAAAGCATCTTTCGTCTTAAGGAGTAATATACCGATCGATGGCCTGAACATCGCTCTTTCGAATGGTGAAAATCGCCGTCCTGTATCTCGTTCCTATAATGAGTTATTCGAAAAATGGTAACCTGCCTTTTATTTTGGATCGGATAATAGTTTGTACGATTTACTCAAAGTAGGTCACATGACAAAATCTTTGATCTCATATTCAAGATATTCAACTTGCAACTGATATTCGATGATTTTCAAGCAGAATAGTACACATTTTACTTCAGAAAAGTATTATATTCGAAATCAGCACAAAAACTTGAGTCACCTTATGTATATTTCAAACTTTTTCTAATATTCTGATCAAATTTTCACCATACGACCAACTCAAAAATGTGTTGAAACATAAATTGAATCAAAACAACTATTTTGTTGTTCAGTCGCCTGTATGTTGTCTTTAAATAACATTTTGCAAATTAATAACTTGCTTTTCATTATCAAAATAACTTTTTTTATTCAATTCATTTTTTCACACTTTTCTAATGAGGTTCAGAGGTGAAAATTCGATGAGAAAAAAGAAAGTCGCTAAAAAAAATACTTGGAAACACACATAAGTCGACTCTATTTTTGTGCTGGTTTTCAAATGTGATATTTGTTGGAAGTGATAAGAATATAATTCTGCTTGAAAACTGGCAAATATCATTTGAAAATCAGACCTCATAAATAGTGGTCTGGTGATTTTGTTATGTAATCTATCTTTTTAAACCATAAAAACTAATGCGTTTTGTAACACTAGAAAACTTCTATTAATCATGAAGTGCACTATGTGTAGAGAAAGTTTTATCAATACAATAATTGAATGCACATATGTTTTTCAGACTCAAAATTTAAGCAAGCAAAGATTTACAGGCGATGTCATAGAATCAAAACATTATGCTAAATGAATGGTTCTTTTATATAAATGTACCTTGAACAAAGGACTATCAGAATATCTTTGAATCGCTCTTCAGCTTTATTTATGTTCTGTCAAACGAATGCTGACATTGTTAGGTAGTATCAGTAAGCAACTGTCTATTTAATATGTCATGAATAAAGACTTGAATCACGAACTCATGATATTTACTTCTATATATGACTCAATTGAATTAGGCTATGAAAATTAAAAGAAGCTGAAATGTATTCTGATGTGTCCATGTCCTTGATAATAGGTCACTGTAAATATAATTTAACACTGGTTCATTTTTTAACTATAGATCAATAAGATCCATGTTTTCTTCGTGATATAGATCATATTTAAAAAAGAAAACAAACAAACATTTCAATATTTCATTGAAATAACACAATAAAAAAACTTTGAAAACGATCACCCACACGCTTTTTATTTTTATTTATATAAAATCATAATGAAGTCATATAATACGTGAGATCTGTTTATATGATGACGTACGTTGATTAGAATCTGTAAATATTAATTTATTTTTGACAAAATGTCTTATTGTATTAAGTAAATGACAAGGATTTGCTCGCATTAAATATATCCGTACATTAGATAAGAAATCCGAGAAAGTAAAAGGTGGATAACCACCTAAATAAATACAAATAGAAAAATTAATGAAAATTTCCAGAACTTATTTTAAGATATGCATAATGAAAAATTCGAGTGAATGGTGTGCCTCGTTTACTTACATAGGAGAGCTCAAAGAACAGATCACGAGTATATAGATTTTATTACGATTCAAACACTGTCTGAACGTAAAAAGTACTCGAATGATTGAAAATGTAACATTCGTCAATATAAACTCACATTTTTTTTCAAATAGATATTGTAAAATTACAATTACGCTGTTTTCAAGAATTTTATGAAAACCTGACTAGCAAAATCTTACTTGATTAGATTTAAAGATAATAGGGTTAAGAAAATCCTCTCTAATATAGATACCTCGAATATGCTGCATAGCATGTATTTCTAAATATTATTTTAAACCTATCTAGTTTTTTTCTTGTAATAAGAAATAATAGCAGATATTTTATCCCATTATATTTGTCAGATTGTATGCTACAAAAGCACCGATTTAGTTTCTTTTAATTTTGTTTTATTGTTGAGAAAATTGAATTTTTTTCCGTTTGATGATAACCTTAGATGAACGAATGGAAAGCACAATAGATAAAATCAGCGTCAAAAACTACATCGAGTCATCTATGCTTTAGTGAGAACTGTTTTCGATGGAAAATACAAAGATAGCCTGCCTCAGTTCTACTTTCTAAAATTTCGTCCCTACTCATCCAAAAGGTGAATTTTTTAAAGAAAAAAATTTTCTTAAAACATATATAATTCCATGAAACTTTTGAATATGATTTCGCATATTATGTCTGTTGTAGTTAACAGCTGAGTCATGATGACGAAAAACACCAAATGAAAATTCATTTGTTATTTTTGGGAAACACGATCTAAAAGGAATATTGAAGTATAGGGGCAGTAGTACAGGTCTCTTCCCTCTGTATCACAAATATGACAGACTAAATATTATAGCGAGATCGTTAGCGAACAAATACTGCAAGAAAAAATTGAAAAGACTGAAATATCGTGGTTTCAGTTTGTTACATTGACGTAGTAGAACCTGTTAGACCTAAAATTTTCGAATCCAGACTCGATCGAACCTATGTCCAGACCCCACCCAATGAACTCTGGAATATGGAACATAAACTTGCTCCGAAACTAAATAAACAGTTATGGCAGACATCTAAGCAATGACAAATCACAGACGTGACAGACATCGTTGATATACAATCACAGACCACATATCACTAACAGGTCATTGACTATATCAACTACTTTCCAATTACATTTCTGAAGGAATAAATAAAAGTATGATGAAGGAATGCATCCCAAAATAGATAGAATAAAATAATCTTCCTGTGATTAGCAAGAGCAGCTAAACCGTATTTCACATATAGATCCTGCAGGAACTGAATTAACAGCTTTTTTTTTTTATCTAATTTAGTCATTGAAGAAGAAACGAATTCAGTTTTCTTCACAATAAAATTAAATTAGGAAAAACAAACTAAATGGATGCTTTGGCAGCTTACGTTCTGGTAATGCTAATGATATAAAATACTTGCTCCGATTTCTGATTTAAAAAAAAGCTAGATGAATTTAATATGATATTCAGAAATAAGTGCTATATGGAATGCAGGAGGTACCTATATGAGAGAGGATTTCCTTAATCCTATTATCTCTAAACCTAATCAAATAAGATTTTTCTAGTCAGGTTTTCATGCAGAATCATAATAAAATGTGTTCATAAAGTTGGAGAAAACAACTTATTTGAAGTTTTACAATATCTTTTGAAGAAAAGCAAGTCTATATTTATGAATGCTACATTTTTCAGTCATTTAAGTTTTTTTTTCAACCAAAAAGTGATTGAATCAAAAAAAAACTAAATATTTGTGAGCAGCTCGTTAAGCTCTCATATGCAAATGAACGAGAAAAAACATCCTCTCAAATTCTGCATTATATGAGTCTTACCATTAATATAACGAGCAAAACAATATGCATCTAAGTACTCATTTTTAATTAAATAGTAACATGGTAAATGTAAACGATATTGAAATAATTTTGATTCATAAAATTGTATTGCTTGTGTATTTGAATATAAAACATGTAAATAAATAGCTTTACATGTATCATATTTATATAATGTATTTAATAAATTTTCTAATAATATACTTGCTAAACCTAATCGTCGATATTCTTTAACCACACCTAATATGAGTATATAACAAACTGATGTTGTTAATGAAAATTTTTTATGTAAAATTTGTTGATCTTCACGATTACAATTACCTAATGGAAGTATATTAGCAACAATTAAAGCAATAATTTTTTGTGTAAAAGCATCACATGCTGCTAAAGCAAAATATTTTTTATTATGAACTATATCATTATACCATTTATCTGGATATTCAATTGGAAACCAATCATGACAAAGAGATTTTACTTCGGATTGATCACCAGGACGTAAAAAACGAAATGTTATTGATAAATTACTATTTGGTAATATATGAAATGATTCTGTATTGACTACATCAATATTGACTGGAATTGATGATGATGTTTGCATGCGACGATAATTTTGATAACGATGTTTTTGATAGCGAAATCGAATAGAATTGGTATCTTGAAAAACAAAAACAAAAAGAGAATATATTTTTGTTATTCGAAATGAAGTTGAACAAAAAAATCTCATCAAAAGATGAATCACTTTGGAGAAGAATTTTAGCGTAGAGAGAAAAAAAGCGAAAATTTCGTACTTGAACATACTATAAAGAGTATATTAAAACTATCCTCAAGGAACTTTTTAGCTATTCCAAGTGTGTCACGATTACGAGAAAGTATTTAAGCTTTATAGCCAGATCGGCTTATATTAAATGAACTCAAACTAATATGCTCATGATATATGTGCATAGAAGACTTGAGCTTTCACTTTTGTCCTTTTGGTTTGAATTCATTAATAAGGCCGTATGGAGGCGAGAGAAAATAAAAAAACGATTTATGCCTATTAGGTGTTTCTTCTTGACGTGATCCTCTCAGATTATTTTCAAAATCGATTCGTTAGTTCAAATATCCCACAAAAGAGAGTCCTTCATGAAATTAGAATATTCCTATATTGCACATTTGTTCGCATTACGGCAGAGCAAAAGTATAGATGTGCCATCCATTATATCGAACGGTTTACCGACGACTTTTGTCCAACTCGCATCACAGATTGTGAAACTATTAGATTCTTTAGTATACTCTATCACCAGATAAAGAATACTACAAATTCTGTTATTTGAAAAGCACAGAATTATTTCTTTTATTTAGTATATCTAATAATACTCACTACAAGATTTATAAATCACGAAGAAAAATCTAAAAACACGAATTATTTACGACTTTTTTTTCGTTTCAATAGGATCTAACTAATAAGGTAAGATTCATTTCGAATTGAATACCATTAGAGTATAAAGTATACCTATTAGTCAAACACTTCCTTCAATCATTAATAATAATATGCTGATGTAGAATGCTAAAAGTGAATACTTTTAACAATTATATATGAAATTTTTGTTTAATATACCATCCGCTGATATTTATAAGATGATCTACTTAAAATCCAGTTTCATTATCTCTAAAAAAATAATACTAACACACTATTTTTATTTTTTCTCAATTCATACAGTGAAAATCTGTTTTCCTATTTACATTTAATATGTTTCTTTATAGGAGACATCCTTCTACGTTTCAACAAACTAATTAGATATACAAATTGTGTCTTGTTGATATTGAAAAAAAACGTAACTTACCCGACAGTTTTATACTTTTTTGTAATATGATAACAATTCGTCGATTTTCATCTGAAATAGTTCAAATAAGGAAAATCACAGGAAATATTTATTTATTAGTCATTTGAAAGTATAAAACACCTTTTTGATTATTCGTTCAAAATAAAAAACAAATACAAATTTAATGAAAAGTATTAATGGATGTAGATTTTTGATATTGGTATATGTTAATTTCATAAGTATTACCAAATTTTTAAGTATTGGAAAAATATTTGAATTATTATTTTTTACATAATACGTATTCATTCACACATATCACACAATGTTAAACAAAAAACATATGTTATGATTGATGTAAAAAAAAATGTTAAAAATAGAATAATTGTAATTCATTAAACTCTTTCTATATACAATGAAAAACTGGAAATAAATTTTAAAAATAACAAAAATAAAGAAAAGCACGAAACAGTGTAATTACTTCAATATTCTATTCTAAATTTAAATATTCCAAACTAATATGAGAATACAATAAAATCATTCATTAGATCAAATAAAATATTGACAGTCATTGTTAACACATTTATGCAAGATTCTTTAAGTATTGTCAAATTTATGGACTTGAATTTACTTTACGAAGGAAGTCGACCAACTGACACACCGCTTTTGAGTCGAGACTTATGACTATGAGATTCTAATAATCTACAGATTCTTTTATATGAATGTCGTAGTTCATTCTCAGGAGCACCAGAATTATTGATTTTCGAATTTCAATTTGAAACTTTTGTCCAAAAACAGAACTTAATGAGAGTAGTTTCAGGCCTTTTGATTTGCTTCTATTCTGAAATACGAGTATAAAATATGCTGGTTTATGTGAGCGATGTAAAACGAAGGAAGAAAGAATATCACTGACTTTCAGAGACTTTATAGTTTAGATTCTCTATTGTGGCAAATTCAATAGCTCGATATCTTTCCTATAACTATGACTAGTTACAACTTTAAGCAAAAGACCACCCTGATTTAGAGTTCTGACGCTGAATTACTTAAGCGATCCACAAACACTGACTTTTGAAACAAACAGTCGTCAGTAACTTTCCCAAGGTCACTCTGCGACTGATGCTATCGAGACGTGGGCACAGTATTTTGGAGATACGTGTCAAGCAGTGTAGCTAGTTCCGATGAAACTACCCGAACTGCTACTCTCCGTTCAAACTCATATCGAATTCACCAGAAGACCTAGGTAATAGTAGAATAGTCCTGAAAGAGTTCGTGTCTATGGGTTTTTACTGCCGACTTAAACCCATTTACAAGTTTTCTATTCAGCTTTAGGTGTGTATCAATAAATCAAATAATGGAATTTGGATTCTTGATGTTCCTGAGAGAAACCACGAGATTCATTTACAAACCAACTTAAATTTTCAATATCTCAGTAATAATAAGCTTAGGACAAAAACTCATTTCACAGTATTCATAGCTCATTTGGATCTTCAGAATGCATATAATTTCACTTCAAAAGCGATTTATTAGTTGAAGAACTTTCTTCATTAGTCACATCTATGTTCAGAGAATAATATTGATAAAAAATAAATATATATAATGAAAAATCTGAAAAAAAACCTTTATGTGTGAGATCTTATTTGTTTTCTGTTTGTTTCTTAACAAGCTGGACGTTATTCATTATCATTAATTAATCTTTGAGATTCATTAATAAGTTCATCATTGTGATCATGACTTCGATCATGAAATGTTCCAATTCCACCTATCATATGTCCTCTCATTGTGATATTTTCATCAACAGAGATATTTATTATATCTTGATTAAAATTATTTAATGCTAATAAAGCTGAATTATTAGCTGTATCAAGTTGACCAATACCTGATCCATTTGTTGATACAGTTGATGGTATATATCCTGTATAAGGTGAATAATCTTGAGAATTATTTAATAATGTTGATTCAATAATAGATTCTTCATCATCAATTATTGTCGGCATTTGATTATGATGCATACATGATATTGATGAAGTTGAATTTTGTAAATTATGAAGTTGTTGTTGTTGTAATAAATAATTTGATGGCATTAAATGAGCTGTTGTTACACCACAATAATCACGTAAAGAATTAACTTGTACTGTTAACATATTCATACCAGCACGCATAAAATTACCAGAACTACGTAAAGATGATAATGTTTGTACACGTATAAAATTAAATCGTTGTTGACTTGTTTCACGAAATGGTTGAAGATAAGCAGCCAAACTAAGCAAAACATAAAGCTTATTGCATTTTACAAAAAAAGGAAAAAGAAATATTTCAAATAACTTAATACCTTTCAGCTGCTTGTCGAATTGTTCCACTAACTTGTTGTACACCTGAACGAAGTTTATCACGTACTTGTTCAAGTGTTCCAGTTATATTTGCTGCTGCCGATGATAACCATTGATTAAGTTCAAAATTAGGTGGTGTACGTGCAGCACTATTCGGTGTCATTGTTGGATATAATGGTGGTGTTTTCATATGATCATTTGAATAATAATATGTTCGTTTTAATATTATACAAAGTATAATACCAATAAGTGACATAACAAATCCAAAAATCATTGTATACATCATAAGCCATAAAGCATGTTTTTTAGCATAAGTATCAATATTAAAATTAAATTTATATGTATATATTCCAAGCATATTTATCCCTGAACATGAAAAATGATGTTGTAAACTAGCACGTGCTTGTGTTATAGATAAATGATTTGTATTAAATGCATGTAATTTATGTCGTGTACGAGCAGTTAATGGACCAGCTAAACTTGTTAATGTAACATATATTGGTTTACCATTATTATATGGAAGTAAATCAATATTTGATATATTTATTGATGTAAGATTACCAAATGGCGTTGACCAAATAATTATAGGTGGAGGTTGACCATTAATTGGACATATAAGAGTAAATGTAGAAAAACGTAAATAAGATGCTGGATGAGTATCTGATTGTTGAGGATCATAATATGGTGCTATGCAATTATGACTTTCGTTCTAAATTATAATTTTACAAATGTAAAGAATAAAACAAGAATCTTGCAAATCTAACTATAAACTCTTTGAGTATCAGCATACTTTTATAAAGTACAGCTTGTTTTTTTTAATAAAACCTGCCGTTAACGGAAAGTTGGAGTATATAAAGTAGGAATGTGCACTCCGTGCTCCTCTTTCTTTCCCTATAGAACACGACAAACACGATCAACAGATGGTGACAAACATTGTTAATATTAAAATCAAGGACCTTAAATGAAATACTTCTTTATTCAAATAGAATAAAATAATCTCTCTATGATTAGTAACATGATGTTTGACATTTTAATCTTGCTATACTTTTGTTAGCTGTTTTTTATCAAGTTTGTTATTCTTTGAATAATTCATGAAAATAAAATGATATCGAGATGTGATGACATAGTTTTATTTATTTATGGAAAGTAGAAATGTAAGCCGACGTTTTATTCAGCGACTGAGAGTTTTCTATGTTGAAAACTTTCAAAAATCTACTATCGACTTATATACTTTTGTGATGACTGGAAATTTTTTCGAAATATCAGTAGCAGTGTTGATCGGCTTACATCTCTAATAGGAAATGAAAAAGATGCAAAATAAATGATCAGACTTGAAGTTGAATCAAAATGAATTGTTTCTAAGTATAGTTTTCCCAAGCTTTTTCATTAGTATATTTTTATATGATTATCATGGAGGACTCATAATTTCTGATTCTTGCTTCTTAATATATATTGCAATCGTGAGTGCTCATTTTCAATGAATCCTCGAAAAATATAATAGTAAATCTTCATATTCTGTGTGAACAGTCTAAAGATATTTTAAAGTATCTAGTACAATTTTGAAAAATAAAATTGCTGAATTGAGCTATGAATTTTCTTTGTGAGCTGTCTTAAATCTAAAATGTGACTCTCAATTGTAAAATCGATGTATTTCAATAAGTATTAAGAGCTAAAACTTCAAATTCTTATGGAAGATCAAAAAATCTTCAGTAAATGAGAACGGAATCTGTTGAGTGATGATGCCAACAATAATTATAAATATAAAAGTTATCAAAATATCTTCCTCAAGTAATGGTATTCAAAGAATTAAAATAGACTGTCCGTTCATCAAAACTTCCCACACTTTGATTGGCGTAAAAGTAGAAATTACTTGAACCAGAACTCTTCTTGATTAATCTTAAAATAAAAAGTTTGGCTACAAAAAAAAAACACTCAATCATCGGGTGTTTTTCTTCTTTCTTGAATACTTCAATGGGTTTAGAATGCCTCAGAATCATTTTTTCTAGGATATTCGATAGAAAATGCGAGAAGAAAAATATTCATTCTATTTCTGCTTGCTGTACCATGCTAAGTAGCTCATGAAAATCGTTCAAGCTCTAATATTATGACAAAAGTATTTGAAAATTTTTTCTTACTATAGATTGTTTTAAATTTGTTGATTTTTCGCATATAATTCGGTAAAATTCAGTTGTGCATTGACAATCGAGTGGATTATTATTTAGATCAATATTAATATTAAATAGCAATTCAGGCAAAATACGTTTTAATTGATTATTTCTTAGATCAAGTTTAATTAAATTCTTTAAATATGAAAAACACCGAGCATCAAGAATTTCTAAACGATTATTTGCTAATGATATTATTTCTAATGATTCAGGTAAAATAATTTTATCAATATTAAATTGTCGAATATGATTTGATTCAAGTATTAAATGACGAAGTTTTGATTTATAACGATTTTTTGATGTTATAATTATTTTTTCGAATTGATTGTTACTTGCATTTAATAAATGAAGTGTTAATGGATAATTATCAAGTATGAATTCTGTTAAAAAATAATTTCTTAGAAAAAAATTTTCAAATTGTTGATTATTTAAAATAATTTGATAATCTAAATTATTTGTTTTAGTAGTATTTAATGCATCATAATCATCACATATCCATGTTCGTGATGTATTTGTATAACAAAGACTATAAACAATAGGTAGAAGAATTAATATATAGATAAAGAGAAGTTTTATCAACATCTAAAAAAACAATAAAAGATTGATTGTTTATTTGAAAGACAAAATGTTGAACATCATATCGTCTTATAATAGGATAAAATGAACAGTGCATTGTACCTATCTCGGTTTAAAGTATTGATATTTCTTAAATTTATTTGTTTAAGAAATTGATAGACGAAATAAAAAGTGAAGCACGTTTTTTTTTCAATTCTTTTTCTATTTTACCTTTATTATTCCACGCAAAACAAAATTTTTTTGATCGAGAGAAAATCAAGCACAAAAAAAAATAGTGCGAAAAAGAAAAGGAAGACGGAGATTAAATATAGATATATTTTGTTTCTACACAAATATTTGAATGCTACAATCCAGAGTAGTCACACATAAACTTTATACAGAGAGAGCAGAAAACGAGAAGGAAAAAATGAATATTATTTTGTTGATTATCTGACAAAAGAAAAATGAGATATATTTGAAATAGATTGATTACATAACATCAACAAAAAATTCTCGAGGTAACGGATTGGTCATAGCACGTTGAAATGATTCTTTGCTTGAACGTAATTTATTTGGTACATCAATTAATTGTCGAGTTTCACTACTACTACTCGTTGATGTTGAAGATGATTTCGTACCAATAATACCTAAAGAAAAACAATAAAAATATCGATCATGAAAATATGACTTTTACGAACACGAAAAACGACAAAGAAAACTTGTTTTTGTTCTTTTTATTGCAAAAAAATTCTTTTATGACAAAGGTGAAAAAAAATGAATATTTATAGCATCGTTCATATCTGACAAATGCTGATTATATGAAATTAAACTTCGACAGGTGATGAACACGTCGTAATATCATTATCATCATTGCTACTGCATAGAATCGCCGGATTGATACATGAAAGATGTCGATAATAAGAATTTTTCATGAGCATAACTAGATACAAGATATAAAAAGTGTACTCTCTCAATTAGTAATCGAATTTCTAGTATAATTATCTAGTTAAAAAGAAATTAGTCATTAATCTTACCTGAATGTTGTGTATCAGTTAATAAAGATTGTGAAGGTGATTGAAGTGGAGCATTATTTTTATCAACAAAACCAAATGTAGTTACAGTATTTTGTCTCGTTGTTGTTAATAATGAATCACCACTACGACGATCAGTAGTATTTGTATGATCAGAGACCGTTTCATAATCTTCAGCTTCTTCATCAAGTGTCAATTGAGATATTCCTAAATATGAAATAAAACATATATCAATTTTAACATTTCAAAATAATGTTCATTTACCTTGTGAATAAATATCGCCAAAAACATAATAACACTGTTCAGAAAATGTTAATTTATGAACCGTATGTCGAATATAACCTGCTTTAAGCATAGATGATGCATATTTTCTTGCATCATTACGATTGACAAATCCATCGACATGTTGAAATAACCAATTAACTAAATCCGAACCTAAATTAAATTCATAAACAAAAATATCTTTTTTTTATTTTCTTTTTGTCAATACCAAGAAATGATTTTGGTATGGGAATTTTAAGCCATATTCTATCACGTATATCTAAGCCTGAATCAGGTTCAGCCATAGCTCGTACAATTGTATCCATATCAGAATTAATAGTTAAATTAAGATCAAGACCAAAACCTGAAATAGATTTTTAAAAAAATTAATTTCTCTTTTTTTTTAATACAAAACTTACGTTGATTATCCACTATTGTATTATTTGTACTTGATATAGTTGAACTCATATTTGTTGTTGAATTTAATATCGATTGTCGATGATGAAGTAAAACTTGTTGTTGAGGATTATTATATGTATTTTGTACAGCTTGTGTGTGTGCAAGCCATGATAATGGATCAACAGGACGTGCTTGTTCATGACGAGGTAATGTAAAATAACCACGTGGGGTGGGATCCCAACATTTGGCTACAACCAGTTTAATTGGTCTATTAGTAAAAAAAAGATTATGACATATCGAAGAATAGATTTTGAAATATACCCAGGTTTTTGTACAGTTTCACGTAGAATTTTAACAGCATCATCATTTGATAATCCTTCAAAACTAATATCATTTACTTGAAGTATCATATCACCTGGTTCAATACGACCATCTTGTGCAACTGCACCTCTAAAAGAAAAAAACATTTATCTATCATCCTTAACCATAAGAAAAGGCATTGTACTCTAAAACATTTCAAAACTTTTCTCAAAATTCGAATGACTTGAATACGTTTCTACCTGTTAGAGTGCATCGAACGCCAATGACTGAATACGAAAAAAAAATCGGAAAAAGAATCTCCTATCTTCCTGTTCTACTGTTGTCTTAGGCACTACGAATAAGTACATTTTACGCATGAGAATTATTGATATACGAAAAGATACACCTGTGTTCAATGAATAATTCGATAAATGTGAACGTGTCATAACACCGAATGCTTATGAATAAAATAACGACGCTAATAATGATGATCGTATGTCAACAGAATAACTAGCAAAAGCAGTGAAAATGCTGCGAAAAGGTCATTTATTAACAACAACACAAAAAAAAATAACATTGATTAATTGATCAATGAGAATTTAGATCAATTGATGTTTATATTGATTCTAATGCTAAAAGACAAACAACCGTAAAGGATTCTTATTTCTTTTCAATCAACTTTGTGTTCTTATTGAAAGATATTTTCAATTTAATTCTGCAGATGAACAAGACAACACATAACTCGACTTTTATCTGAGACTAATGAAGGAGTTGATAGTCTAAGATCTTTTCTTCAGTTCACAGCAAATAATGTGTCAGCTCTCTGAACTGAAAATCTGTATATAGTGCACACTTTTAAATGGTCTTGATAGTGTGTACAATACAGAGATTTTAATGTTACTGTTTAATAGTTACATCTTTCATTATATTAGACTCTCATCGATATATTCAAGTATTGCAATCCATGGGGACGAGTATGAAGAATTGTATCCATACAATACTCTAGTAGAGACTTGCTGTAGATATAGTAAAATACGTACAACAAGCTTATTGAACACTAATATAAGAAGAAAAATTATCTGTCCAAAAAACGAGAGATCATTTATCCTTGGAAAATAACTATAGCGTGTTAGAGATTTTTCAATCGACCTATTTTGTATTAGTGTAATGAGGCTAAAGAATGTAACATTTTAGCTCTAATAAGGTTGTACTAATAAGCTTTTTGTTTTTCACGTTTAATATAGTTTACCCTTTCATGATTGAACCAACATAGATTCCTCCATCACTTGAACCTGTTTTATCACTTTGACCAACAATACTTATACCCAAAAAATTAACTGCATCTAAAGAAAAGAATTCTTTTACTTAATTTAATGAAACAATTATTAAAGACAATATTACCTAAATTAAGTGTTACGGTGATAATATTTAATGTCATTGTTGATTCTGAATTTAGACTACTGAATGATGATGCCTATAATTCAATGAAAAAATTTAGATACAAAAAGTTTTAAAAAAGAAAATTACTCGATCAAATCCTGATGGTAATCGATGTTTTCTTCGACGAGGTCGATTTCGACCATGATATCGTGATGAAATCGTTGTTGAGTCAGTTACCGTGGAATATCTAAGATAATCACACTTGAAGAAAAATCAAGGTTAAAAAATTCTCTAATGAGAGAACCATCTAAAGCAATTCATCGTATTTCCTTCTATATCTCTATCATATGTGAGATAATATTTAGACTAGAGCATACTTGTCTAATAACTCAAATCTTTAGTAAAGTTATCTGATAATGAACTGAAGTAAAATATGTCTATATTGAGATTATACGAAATAGTAGCACAGCATTTTTTTTTCATAATTGATTGAAATTTGGCAAGTTGAATATCTCAACATAAACATATTTGTTTGTTGAAACTTTCATGGCAGTCGAAATGAGATTTGTCGATCGACAAACTTACAGATCAAACAGCTTCTATTAAAGTTTTTGAAGGCTATGGAAAAAATTCAATAAAATAGCCATTACGCAGGAACAACATGTCAAGAGCTTGATTGATTTACATTAGTGTTATAGTCTTGATGTCGTTCATTTTTGATAAAAATATGAGCTAAAGAGCAGGATGAATAACTCCGGGCGATTTTCTCGAAAATGTAATAGAGGGGAACAATGAATAAGACTATTTGTCAGGAAGTTTTAACATCTTAAGTTAAAATAGATTTCTTCATTTTCGAATAAATCTCAGCAACAATATTGTTCTTACAATAGTAGATACAGGAGAAGGTGGCTACCTCCTCCATTAAAATTAATAATCGCCATACTCTACGTATCATTGTATTTCTATAAGGTTTATAGAGACAAATAGTGTGTATTTTCAAGTTTGTAGCACTTGTACTCTGACGTGCACGATTCTAGATAGGGAAGACAACGAATGTATATATGCTCGAAGTACTATTATTAGTTATATCAAATATTCTTTCTCTTGCTAGATATGACTTCTATTCCTGTCACAAAGTCGACATGTGTTTTTAGAGTTTAACATTGAAATAACCAACAATCAGGTTAGCGGTTCATTTGTGTTCATGCTGTCGATGATGCATATGTATGACGTTCAGCAAAAAGATCTATGTAGTCCATGTTCGATGCAATGGTATCTTCTTCCCGAATATCAACATTCATTTTCAAACATGGTACTATGGATGCAAATCGTCTGAATGAACTAACTATGATGTATATTCATTCTATTATTTACATTGATACCAAAAGAAATAGAACAGTCATGATAAAAACCGTCAATAATTGTTTCTCATTCGTCACTTCTTACAAAGACTTCCTAAATCTACCTTTGAGTTCTTACTATAAACTCGTATAAAATTCTAACCGTCATTAAATCATTTAGATAGTATGCTTGATCATCCTTTGAAAGGTCACTATTAATCCGTACACTGACATTCATCGAGTACATTTGGTTCATTATGTAAGCATGATGAATTAATCAATATGAATCTTATCAGTCATTAATTAAGTTTTTAGTTTAATCATTCTGCATATTTTTATTCTCCCGAGGGAATCTTTCAGCTGTCTCCTTCCGATTCCAACAATGTCTTTTTTGCATATAGATAATAGATAGTGTTCTAAGAAAAAATCTAAAAGAATTTTGACTCCTATTCATATTTGAATAAGCTATCTAATTTTGATCTCAAATTTTGTATATATATATACAGGGAATTCAACCAGACTAGCTTCCATCAAAAAATGTAGAAGTTTTAAACAAAGCCTCCTGAAGATATCCTTTTCCATGAATAGTGTACACAGCATGCATTTTTTTTATAGAAGTTAGTCTAATAGAATTCTCTGTATGTGGAAAAATTAAGACTAAAATCCAAAAAATATGAATTTTCCGAAAACATGGGACCTCTTAATAAGCTCGATAGGAATTCAAATGCTTTTAGAATATTTATCAGAACATTATGTAGCAAAAAACCCTTGAATTTGGACGAAGATACTTGAAAATATTCTCTTGTTAGTCGTATTACAATCAAGTATACTATACTAACCTATCATCTTCCGTTTCATCTAAGAATGTTGTTGACTCCAGATCACTACTTGGAAATGATGCCATATCATTAACAGCTCGTTGTTTAAGAAAATATTTTTGATAATCAGCACTATTAGCTGATGCATAACGTCGACTCATACGTTGTAAACGTGGTTGTTGAATATTGAATGAACTATTTGTTGTTGATGTTAAAATCGTATCATCTCGATGATGATAAGTATGCTTCGGTTGTTTACTTCCACCACCACCTCCACCACCACTTGATGTTGTACTACCTTCGATAGACACAAGATAAGCAAGAATACGATCTTGTGTGTCAAATGGTAAAATTTGTTCATCATTAGTTATTTCTTCTTTCACTTTTCCAATTGATGGATCATTCGTAGCAAAGAAAAATTTATATTTTGCACAATTACGATCAAGAGCATTTTTAAAATCTTTTAAACGTGGTACACCAGTTACATTTAATTTTGTTAAATACGGTGGATCTTGATCATCGATATAATAAAAAACTTTTATTTCAGAAGTTGATGTTGGTTGTTCATCAGGTGATTTACCTGTATCTTCACTCATCATTAATGTTTTTAGATTAATTATATAATTTGTCACGCATTCTTCCTATAATTATTATATTTTATCAGCTAGATTTCACGATATAACGACGATGCAACAAGAAGAGAACAACAACAAACAAGACAAAAGGTCGTTAGAACAATGAACGAACAATCAATGGATATGTGTGTAAACCAATGATGAATGTGATTTATTGTCTATTTCCTCAAATAACAGAAGTAGATGATAGAGGGAGCTAACTGTAGAGATTGATATTGCTTGATATTGGGCCAAAATTGATTGGATTCTGGTATGTTTATTTGAATGGTGATGTCAAAGATGTCTGAATAAATTTGTTTTCATGGAAACGTATTTGAAAATGATGAAATCAATATATAGTTGTTGGAAGTTAATAACATTGATAAATGAAAATATACCTTACAATATATTATCTTTCATATTTTTTGGAAAAGCTTGAATTTTTTAGTTTCATTTATATAATATTTCATGAAAAACGTGGTTTCTTATGAATTAATATCTATCAGAGATCTGTGATGCAGTCGAAAAACTATTCAGTACAGTCTTGCCAGGACTGTAGCCGAAAGACAGGTGTATTGTCTTGCAGATTTTCAATATCATATAACAATTACTATGTATTTCATATTATAAGATCAAATAAAATACAGAATATCCGAAAAGTCATTAACTAAAAAGAAAACTTTATATGTCCATGACGACTCCTATTGAATGAACTGGTTTTTGTACTGATGATAGAGGATAGTTCAAAGTTTTTATTAAATAATATACAGTTCTCAAATACTCTTCAAAATAGCACTTTCAAGTTCATTACAAGCAGTAAGTTCTTTTTCGACGTATGAAAAAAACAATATGTAGGATTGTGTCTTTAATTTCTTCTATTTTGTTTCATTATTGTGGATTTGCTATGATCTAGGCGTATCTTTTTTCCTTTATAAACATTTATTGAATATTTTAAATCAAACAGGCAAAATTAACCTCAAGTCTAGTATCTGTGAAAACCCTGCAATTGAAATGGCTCATTCAATTTACTTTTCGTCAAAGTTTTTGAAAAAATGTGTCAGTCAATCTGAGTTTTTCAGATGTGTTAAAGAGATGTTTATACAGGAAGTGAAATAAGCCCAGATGACAAGAAGTCCACAATTATGAAACACCATAGAAGAAATTTAAGACACTACCCTACATGTTATTTTTTTGCACTTTGAACGAGTATTTGAGAATTTAATATTATTGAATATAGACTTAAAATTTGTTCTCTATCATCAGAACAAAAATCAATTCATCTAATAAGTATCATCACGGTGATATAAAGTTTTCTTTATGATCAATGACTTTCTAGACGCCTTATATCTTATTTGATCATATGAAATGAAAGAAATAGTGAGGGCTGAAGAAGATTTATATTGGTAAGGATGGATGGATTGATTGTCAAGAAAATGAATAGTTAGACAAACGTTTTTTAAAGTGGTTTCTTAGGGTTAATAGAATACAATGGGTGACGTTGAATATAAATAGAAAAAGAATCAACATAGGTTTTTTCATTTAGAACTATTCAGAAACTTATCGAGTTATTAATCTATATATCAATTGTTGAATAAATTCTTCCGACACATGCTACATAGTTCCATTGTCCTTTAGATGTCAATACCTTTTCTTATTGTTCATTTTAATTGTAGTAAGAGAACAATCATTAGTTCAATAACAAACATTTCTCCTGTTGTCTTCATTGTTCAATATTAATTTTATTACTTATTGAACATCGTGTGCGAAAATATATTATTATTAAACAATATGTATTTATTTAGTGGTTGACTTACACCATTATGCCATATCTGCATTATGACACGTTTTCATCTTATGCATAGATGAATCTCATCCATTCATACATGAATTTATTGGTCACATGATCATTATAAGTTTGTGAATATAGTTGCATATTATTTAATTTGTTTCATATTAATAATGTGTAATCGATACTATAAGTTCATAAATACAGGAAGATATTTTGTATCTTTTTAACGGTCAAACAACAATTTAAGTGTAAATGATTCGTTGGTATGAAGAAGAGCAATTTTTAATTGCTTTTGAAATTTTCATAGCATTTATGTATTATGTAAAAAATACCCAATTTTTTTCCTTCAAATTTATTTTATCTAATCAGATTAACAATCAACAACTAATGAATGGAATTATTTGATAATTCATTTTTGAATCAAAACTATTGCTAAAACATGAATACGAATTCAACCACCGAATATTTTGATCGAATCAATAAATTATGTTTCAAAAGTATAATTGATTTAGATATTAATTGATATAGTTGTAAACTACATAGTTATTTGCATATTATTCATTTCTTTGATGTGATTTTGATAAAATATCTTACCAAGATGATAATATACATTGAATGCAAGTTTGCATAGGTCTACTGAAGATCTATACCGAAATAAAGAGATATTTCATTTCACAAACCATTTTATTTTACTTCATGTACTATCGCTTTATCCAACTTGTCTTATTTTAAGTTGAGACTATGTTATGGTCGGTATTCTTCCACAGTTGCGCATATTTTGCTTGTTACATGAGAAAACTATATATGAATAAAAATTACTCTATTGGATTTTATATAGCATCTGAAACCAATACTAATAGCATACTTGAAAACGAATTTTTGTTTCACTTCATAAATAAATGTTGATCATACAAGATTGATTGTTTGCTTTGCGAACATGACGAACATTGTAAAATCTCTTGATAAACATAATGTCCTTCAACATTCTTATTTTTTCGTTAATCATTCGAAATCAAATAGTTCATACGCTTATCAAATTCTTCACAAAAATTCCTCTTACTGTCATCTGCATGTATAGTTGTTATTTTTGATATTGTCATTTTTTGTTTTTGAATAAAAATGTAAGAAACCACAATTTACAAAAATATTGTTAGATGAGACAACAAGATGTTCCTAGAATATTATACTAACTTTTTTTTTGTTCTATTCTCTAGGAAAGAACATTCTCTATCATTTTTGGAATCATTTTCCGTTTTTAACCATTTTTAAACCTATGAATAAATTTATAATTCTGTTTTATTTACTTGCGAAAAAATTGGAATTTTTATTTGGTCGAAAGATAATCGTTTTAAATCTAGAATTCAAATTTTGTCCTGAAAAATTCAAAAAAATTATAATGAATTCCAACTAGGACTCATTACATAGTTCCTCGTCATGTATATCTCGAAATTAAAAAGACTGAAAAATTATGAATCCATATTGACATTGAATTGTTAACAACTGTAAATTGTCAAAATCTACTATTATCTATAATGTTATTGAAATCATCATTGTTTCGTCTTAATTGTCTATAATAAGTCATTGTTGAATTGTCAAATTTCTTCAAAACAAATCAAATGTCCAAGTACTTCTCGTTTGATATTGTATTCTTTTTCACATCACAAAATTCTCTCAACAGTCAACATGGTGATAGTACAGTTTATTGCGAAAAAAAATCAGCTTTCAAAACATTAGTGACATAGAATTTTGTTAACGATTGCTTTTAGAACATGGAAAAGTGTACTTCGAAAGATATTACCACCCGTTAATGTGTAAATATAAAATGGCATTCCACTAGCTATATATGTGAGAAGAATAAACAAATTAAAGATTAAGGTTTCAACTACATCTCGTAATGATTGTGGTGGTGGAATCAGTGCAAATGTTAAATACAATCTTTGAATGGCATGAGGAAATGTAAATATAAATAGTAGAATGACTTGCAGGAGAAGCATTTTAATTAAATATTGATCTAATTTTCTCAAATTTGATAGTCCATTTCTAGTTGATACTGTTCTCATATTTACATGATTAAAGTCTAAATTATCCGCTATTTGTACACGAATCCGTGCCTGATGCACATTCTTAATAGTCATCAATCCAAAAATAATCATCAATAATAGTGGTAATAGGATAGTACCAAATGCATACAATAGACCTGTGATCAGACGACAAGCATATGTTGAAGCATAACATGGTCGTGGAGGTTGAGTTTGATTGGCTTCAAAGCAATAGACTATTGGAGCATTGAGAAGACATGTATAAAGAAGAACAACAAATATACTTCTCCAAACATTGTTCATGGTAGTCATTTGTCGTAGTCTCACTGTTATACTGGATGATAACCATCGATCAACGCTTGCTGATACAATTAACCATAAGACTATTGTTCTTGAACTATATAGGACAACACTTCGAAGTTTACAAATCCAATCGATAGTCAAAGTTAGATCAGCTGCATAACTTGACAACATTTGACCAGTGAGACCACTAATAATGACAAATAGACCAGCGATTGATGAGAAGAGAAAGAAAATAGAAGATGGATTGGAACGAAGAGTTCGTTGACTTAACACAAGAATATTAAGAAGATTACCAATTGTACCAAATATATAGATGAAAATAGATACATAACGATTGATAGAAGTTGCTGCAATGTTCAACGATGTAATTAAATTTACAGTTGTATTTGACAAAGACATAGTTTTACTTTATACTAAATTGAAATAAAACTAACCAATGTCTTGTAGAGAATGGGGAATAAGAAATACAAAAGTGCAGGATACTGAATCAATTAGCTTAATTTCCTGTCACGCAAAAACATACGTGTTTTTTGAGTTATTCATTAGCATGTGCCTGCTTTGATGCATGATTAAAAATGAAGAGAATTTTTTTTATCATCGAACTTTGTCTTATATTTCTCGTGAATATATATATACATTATGACATTTTCTAAATAAGAAAAAGATGAGTTAAATGCTTAACACATTCGCCGCAATATGAATATTGGGTTTTCATAATTCGTGAAAGGTTCTATTTCTTTATTCAAAACAATTGTAATACTTCAAAACAATTTTTATCAACGGTTCTCTTATGAATATGACTTATGAACATTCCTTTATCAGTGGTAAAAGAACCAGTCTCTTTCGTCAATATATGGCAAAGATATTCGATTTTTTCTGTGGTTAAGAAAGTTTTGGGTCACCCTATAGTGGGTCCCACCAGTGGGACCCATCGCGTCGAATGTGTTAATATTTTTTCTAGTCATATTGAACTGACATGTTTAGTGTTTAGTCAGCAAACAGACTAGCACAGAACTAGTCCGAGTTTCTATCTGTCACGCGTACCCATCCTAATGATGGTATTGCCGGTCATCATGAAATATGATAAGGCTAATGTATCAGCTAAAAGTGACTCAGGCATGACTACGCTTATGTAAATCAAGACGAAACGTCACTGTCGAGCTTCGGGCTAGTCCGTTTTGAGACAAAACTATGCATTTTGTGCTGCTCTAACGACTGTTCTCAAAAGATTTTCAACTGAAAAAGAAACAATGTCAGCATTGGTACACATGATGGCTTTTAATATCATGTACGGATCTAGTCCGTTGAAGTTTTCTGAAGTATTTATATGAATAAAAAATCATTTATTATAGAATACAAAATTATGTCAACAATGTTGAACAAAATAAATTATTTAAAAAAAACTATGTTTTTGGAAGAATTTCTTCTGACTATGATCAACTAGGCGTAGTTAATTACATTGAAAAAACTTTTACGTGCAACAATAAAATATTCTTCAGATTGAAAAGGAATTGAAGTTGTTCTAATATCATAATTCAATTTAAGGTTCTTCACTCTTCAAAAATCGATCTTGGACTAGGTACACTTAAATTTCACGAAAGTTTAGAATATATTGGAGCTATAGTGGAGAGACTATGGTAAAATTTTAAAGCCTTCATCATAGTGTTTTCGTGAAACATTTCATAAACTGTAGCCGCAAATATCTTATTTTAGTAATTCAACATGCTATGTTGGGCTTTTTTTGAAAAAGTATGAGAGAACGTTTTTTTTAGGTTCTTACTTTTTGAGGGCAGAAGACAGATAGCAAGTGCAACATGTCAAAAAACGGCGCTCCAATTATAAAAGTACTCTTTTATACTGATAATAAAGCTTAATTCAAAAAAAGGGATTTTGTCATGTTCTGCATCTTGACATGTTGTTTCAAATATAAACAAAATTCGAGAAAAAGTGAAAATGACAGAAATTTTTGGAGATACCAGAGTGTCAAATAAAAAATCATAACATTTACGAAAGATTAAATAGCAGGATATTTTATCATACATTTATCTCAATTTTTATATTTTTTCACGAAAATGGACTTTTTTGGTGGAGAAAGGGCTTAAACCAAAATTTCAATTGCGTGTTTTAAATTTATCACCTAAATTATGCTTGTAGAATTTTGAATCCATTTTTAATTTAAAGTCATTAAACTTTTTGTTTTAAACAAAAGTCAACATAAAATCATAAACATCAGTAATAGTCTGCATGTTAAGAGTGTCTCAGAAGTTTTGAAACGATTTTAAAATTTACTGTTCTTGCATTCAATACAAGCAAAATCGTCGAACTTTGGTAGAGGAGTGTACCTACTGAGCAGTAAGTAATTACAAAATTTCAGGTGTATAATTTTTTCTACGAATCAGAAATCGTAACAATACTAGCATGGAGTATTTTTTTTAATTTTTCCGATGATCTGAATTATTTGTTATAAAACGATACAACTTTTCGAGATCAAAAAAGGGAATTATTTTAACTTATTAATGCTTATTGATTGAATTACTATTCTCATCGAAGACTAATCTTAATCATGCTGGTATTTTCTTCATCATTTCTTAACGTAAACAACGACGAAAATTGTTCTATTACTTTTAGTGCAGTTTTTCAGGCGTTCAGTGTTAGGGTATTTCGTACTATCTTGTGATCAGGTGAACTCTAACCACTCACCCATAAAAATTGTATTATTTTGGAAACTTATCAATTTTCGCTTCTGAAAAACTGAAAAAAATAGTACATGACAATGTTGTTACTCGTTCTCACTCATAGTAACAGTTATAGATCTTAGACTTTGTAGTTCTGTAGAAGTAAGCATGTATAATAATCAACCAAAGTTTCACAGAGTTTTCTTTCACCCTCCTCCTCCTCTCATAATAGAAGACTCTCCATATTACAAGATCCTCTCATAATAGAAGACCCCTTTGGGAAAGAATTTTGTCCCGCGTAATAGAAGACTCCCCATTTATTTAAAGATTTTTTTTGAAAACTGAGAATTTTCCTTAGTGATCTTACTCCAAAACGTGTTAAGTCCGGGGAGTTGTCAGCTGAAAATTTTCAAATCGATGAGTTCAACTTTATATTTAAGCTTTGAAAATCGTGAAAATTCGTTTTCAAATTTTCAAAGTCGCTTCGGTTCTCTCAGACGACCTTTTTAGTTACAAAACGTATCAGTGTAGCCACTGTGGGGCTAAAGTGTAGTACTCATGAAAGTCAGACTGTTACAAATTTATATAATATTCTCAAAAAAGATTGAAAAAGTTTATTTTCAAAAGATATCAAATAAATGAATAGATTACAACTAATTCTATCGTTTGAGTTAAAGGTTACGCTCTATAACTTTACTCCAACGAAACTATTCCATTTCGAACTACTACCTTCTTCGCTTCATTTATCAGATTTCCTGAATATATTTATAATATGAATACAACAGACGCATAATGTTAAATTTCTAAAGAAACATTGACCATAATGATTAATTTGTAGCAGTTTCTATTCGTACATTTCAAACAGATTTTTTTTTATAATGCGTGCTTTTTTTCTTGTTGCTATTCGCTATGTATTATTCTTCTGTTAATCGAGATTATCGTTATTTCGTATTATTCGATTTAAGCTTTAATTTAATGATTAGATAAGCTTAGTATAGACATTGGTTGTATCTTCACCAGATCCTAACAATCTTGTATGCATACTAATGTACTAAGTAAGACACAAAATAAATATTTTTAAAAGTTAAAAAGTAGCTCGATCATGTTTTTATGTAACTCATACTACTGTTATGAAAAATCACAAAATATTATCTTTCAAATGAATCGTAGTACCTTTTTCTGCACAAAAAAAAGGAGGCTAGCTTTTTGCGAATGTCATAAAAATATTCGAACTATTGAAAAGCAAAAGATTCTAGAAGTTTCCACAACCTTTTAAATCTAATTGGTTGCTACGACATATAATGGGGAAGAGAGAACAAGCTAAAAACCCTTGATTCAAAATTACGGTCACTATCAGTTTCTTCGAAAATATATGTGAGTTCTATAAAAACTTAAAAACATAATATTTAGAAGAAAAACTAGAAATTACAGAATTTTAAAATAATATAGCCGTCGATATTAATTACTCTCTATTTCTTGTTACCTTGGGAGAATATACAGATATATTTTTCACGGCATCTGGTTACTATGATAATAATTGAGGAGCCGTAAAACCTGAACTTAAACTTACATTTAGTAAATTCTTCGAAAATATACGTGAGTTCCAACAAAAATTGCAAAAATACGAGAGTCATAATACAAGACCCCCCCTAAAATATTCTTCCATTTAAACATAATAGAAGACCCTGGGCCTTTTATTGTGATGGGGACGGGGGAGTAGGTTGAATACGAGAACGATGAATTTTAACATCGTTCCAGAACTTCTCGAACATCCTTTATATAAATAAGTTTGAAAAACTAAAAATATTTTTAAAACATCGAGATCTCATAAATTGCTGGATGTCGGACACCTGATCCGATTGCAGGATACTATTAGCCGGATTGAAGCATGCTTAGTCATCAAATTAAACTTAGCCCTATAATAAAGCTCTATGAGTACTTAAAGTCGTACGAGTATCTTTGCCAGTAAATTCCGAAATAAAAAGCGATTGTAATCAGCAATAGTTGATATATATTTAATAAATAGTGTAACATCATCTGCTAGCGACATCATATGGAAAAGCCTTATCCAATTCTTTTGTAGTTTAACGAAAGGAGGAAATGAAGTAAGAAATATGAAAGACATCATATAAATATTTTGCATCTTTGTTAATTACCCAATCGTTTCAATATATTCACATATCTTATGCCATCACGAAGTCCACGTTCACGTAGTCGAAGTCCGTCAAAACGACATAAAAAAAGTCATAAACATTCCAGAAAAACTAGTGATGAAGTTTCACCACCAACAAGCAATATTTCAATAAAAAAAGAAGAAGGATCAACTAATGAAAATAGTTCTGTTTATAAACCACGACTTCCTTCTGTTATGTTACCACCATCATTTTTAGCTAAGTTAGATTTAAAAGAAGATGAAAAACTTCGATCACCAACAGGAGATCAATCACCAGGTACTAACAAAACAAAAAAGAAGGAAATAAGATTTTTATCAGTATATTCTATATTAGCGGATTCAACAGGAAATAATACACAAGCAACAAAAAAACGTAAACGACGTTTTGGTGATGAAACTGATCGAGTTTTTTTACCTAATATGCCAACAACAATTTCGGCAACTAATATGACAGATCAACAACAAAAAATTTATATATGTAAGTAAAATGATTTGTTTTTTGATCAATAGAAAATCGTTTATTCTTTTTAGTACAACTTCAAATTGAAGAA